GGAAAGAAATATTTTGTCACACTTATAAAAGATTATACTAGACATTGTTGTGTTTATCTGTTATATTCTAAAAATGAAGTACTTGATAAGTTTAAATATATAAATCTGAATTTGAATTTCAGTGTGAATCTTTTATCAAATGCTTGAGGTCGGATAGAGGTAAAAAATATTATAGTCCAAGTTACTTTGAATCTATCGAAATAATCCACAAAGTTACTACTCTTTATACACCACAACAAAATGGTGTAACTGAAAAGAAGAATAGGATTTTAACAAAAATGGTAAATGCAATTTATCATATTCTGGTCTTAGACAAATATTTTGGGGTGAAGCTTTATTAAAAACTTGTCATATACTAAATAGAATTCCTAACAATGAAACAAAAATAATCCCATATGAGCAATGAAATAAAAGAAAACCAAATCTTAATTATTCAAAGGTTGGGTGAAAGAGGAATAGAATGCATATTTATAAAATATGCACAAAATAGTAAAGCATATAAGTTCATGGTTATTGAATCGAATGATTCAATTTTAGTTAACATTGTTATTGAATCAAGAGATGCATTTTTTGATGAAAATAGATTTAAATCTATTTCAAAACAACTACAAGTAATTCATCCTACAAGTGAAAAAAATTACAAATCCATTGGAACAAACTGAAAGTAGTGATGAATCTTGTCAAGAAATAAAAACAAGCAAAAGGGTTAGAAAGGCAAAGATATTGGACCAGATTTCTTTATGTTTTTATGGAAAGGACTGGTGAAAGTATAAACAATAAAATTTCTTATTGTTTTAATACAGAGTCTAATCCTATTATATATGAAAATGCAATAAAGTCTCAAGATTTATTTTTTGGAGAAAAGCAATAAATGATGAAATAGATTCAGTAATAGAAAATAACATTTGGATTTGGGGTGACCTTTCACCATGTTCTAATCCAATAGGCTGTAAATAGATTTTCAAAAAGAAAATAAAAATGGATGGAACCATAGATAAATTTAAAGCAAGGTTGGTAGTCAAGGGCTTTACAAAAAGCAAAGGATAGACTACTTTGATACTTATGCTCTAGTAGCTAGAATTGCTACAATTAGGCTTTTAATTTCACTTGCCTCAATTTATAATTTGATTATACATCAAATAGAGGCAAAGACAACATTTTTAAATGGTGAATTAGAAGAGGAAGTACATATGTAATAACCAGAAAGATTTATCATTTCAAGTCAAGAGTATAAAGTTTGTAAGCTTGTAAAATCCTTATATGGACTTAAGCAAGCACTAAAACAATGGCACCAAAAGTTTGATGAAATTATATTGTATTAAAAAGCATTTAAAAAGTTTGATCTTTTTAATTGTATTCCAGTATCTATACCCATGGATTCTCAATTGAAATTAGTATCTAATACTAGTAGATCAATTGCAATATGCAAGAGTAATTAGTTATTTGATATATACAATGACTTGTACAAGGTCAGATATAGTATTTGCTATTGAAAAGTTGAGTAAGTACACAAGTAATCCAAGTAACTTGAATTGGCAAACAGTTAAAAGAGTATTTCGATATTTAAAGAAAATAATTAATTATGGATTGTATTATAATGGATATCTTTCGATTATAGAAGGATATTATGATGCTAGTTGGATTACTAATATGGAAGATCATGCTTCTACAAGCAGGTGGATCTTTGTACTTGGTAGAAATGCCATTTCTTGAGGTTACAAGAAATAAACATGTATAACGGATTCCACCATGGCAGCCAAGTTTATTGCATTAACCGTAATAGCTAAAGAAGTTGAATGGCTAATAAAGTTATTACATGAAGTACTTTTATGGCCTAAACCAAATTTTCTAATTTCTATCTATGTGATAGTGAAGCAACTCTAGCGAGGGCATATAGCTAAGTATATAATGAAAGTCTAGACGTAATATATTAAGACATAGCTATGTTCGATAATTAATTTCAGATGGAGTGATCACTATAAATTATGTGAGGTCAAGAAAAAATTTGACGGATCCTTTAACTAAAAGTTTTGCTATAGAGTAGTAAAAACGATCACAATAGGAATAAGGTTAAAGCTCATGAAGTAAAGTCACTCATAGTGAAATTTGACTCAACGCTTGGTATAATGTTAAGTCTTGAGTTCAATGAGACAAAGTATATTATCTGTATATGATTGCTAGCATTATAGTAATGTTTAATGCCATCTTAGGTAAAGTGCTAGGTACCTATAATGGTAAAAAAATGATGAGTAATATACTTTTAATAGACCTATAACATAAATATGTTAGAGTATTATAGTTATGAGAACATTCTTGATGGGAGCTATCTATATGAGTGTGAAGTGTGGCTACTTATAGGAGCTTAAGAGCTTGGTTCTAATAGCACTAATGAAAAGAGGATGAAGAGATATGGCCATAAATGTGTCACCAGATACCAAGCATTCACTGGGTGTTGAAATTATTGTGTAAGATAAGTTAAATTGACCAAATGGAATAACTGGTTCAAAACATAGTTTATCCTGCGATTTTAGTTAACTTTAACTTGTTTTCACTAAGTAAATGTTCAAATAAGAAGATACTTTCATTTATGCAATTGATTTTCAAGGTCATAATAAATCTAGATTATTTTGAAAAAAAAGTGGGGGATTGTTAAAGATTTTTAAAATAAAATATGAAAAATAATCTCACATTGGAAAAAAAATAAAGATAAATAGTTAAGTCTATTTAAAATAGAGAGATAAGTTTATTCAAAATGAACAGTTTTAAATGTTAAAAAACATACAATTTTTGTCCAATTAAAATAAACAATCATGTCTATAGGAAATGATACTTATTTGTTTATAAAAGCCTTTCTAGTTTTCTAAAAACATGTAGAAAATAATTTTTGAAACTCTTCTTTTTTCTTTAAACTTCATATTTCTTTTATAAAAGTTTTATTTCAAAAAACTTTTATACAAGTTTAATGATCTAGTGATATGCCGATGATTATTTGATGAATTGATTTCATCAGTGCAAAACGTAGGAAGTCATTAGGCTTCATTATATCCTCAAGATTTATTACTTGCAACTCTTTTGTATACTTATTAAGTAAATAATTTGGTAAAGGTAAATAAAACCTTAAGAAAAGTGGTATCATTACATATCTTGAAGTCTTTCTTTAAAATTTTAGATTTATCAAAAGCAATAATTTCAATTTTTCAGTGTTGCTTTAACAAATTATGTATCATAATTCGTGTAAAAAACATAAAATATATATTTTTAGTTTTGTTAAACTTACTTATGATTTTTGTTAAAATTTTAAATTATATTATCTTCACATATTTTATTTGTATCATTTTTATATCGCATCATCGAATCATGTTTGAGATTGTGAGGTCTAATTTAGGGATAAGTGTTTTTGTTCCCTTCAAAGTATCTTTTTTATCTTGTAGCAATTTTATATCTGCATTGGTTGGTTTTGACATGAGTGAGAAGATGCCATCCAAATATATAAGCTTTAAGAACATCCATCACAAAATCACTGTCTCCATTAAATCATTCTATAATGTAATACAACATCAAAGCTTAGCGTTTTTACTAAGCTCAAGGCTAGCAAATCATCGCCAGAATCGATTTGCTAAAAGCCATCTCTTAAGCACATAAATAATAGGAGAGCTTCAAAAGTGGAGTCAAAAGCTTTGTCTTCTTTAAAGAAATTGGAGAATTGAAATTCTATTTATAGATTCTGCGAATTTTATGGTCTTAGTGGCAATTTTGGCTGTCAATCTGGAGACTCTTATTTTGTTTAACTGATGTGAATGTGAATGTGCATGTGCAGCAAAAAAAAAAAATTGAATAATTTGATTTATATTCTCTGCCCTATCCTGCTATTTTAAAGGTTTAAATTAGCACGGGAAAATGCCAGCATGAAAGCATTCAAATTTCTAAACTCAACAACAGATCGTCCATTTTTGTTTCTGATTTCCCATTCTACCCGTTCTCCCTCTGTGTGACTGTAACTCTCTCTTTCGCTGTAACTCGAAGACGCCAAGAAAGAAACTATATTTTGGTGTGTAGCCGCTGGCTTGAAGATTTTTGTTTGTAATTTTATGGGTTTTTTTTTTTTTTTTAATTTTGGACAAAAATCAATATTTTATATTATTGATAGTCTATTAGAGGTCTTTGACAGATTTATCAGTATGTTGATATAATAATGAGATCGATTATTATGTATCAAAAATTTATTTGATCTTTATTGATGATCAAAAATTATTGCGCATTTAAAATTTATTTTCGAAAATTTTTTAAAAATACAAAAAATAAATGTTTAAAAATCATTAAAAAAATTTTAAAAAATATTTTTAAAAATTTTAAAAAATTTTAAAAGATAAATATCTAAAAGCTTTTAAGATATTTTAAAAATAAATTTTCGATACGTTAAAGAAGTTTTTGGACATTTATTTTTTAAAATCTTTAATAATTTTGAAAATTTATTTTTGAAATGTTTGAATTATCACTTCAAATAGCATATCTAAATTTAAAATTTTAAATCTTTTAAAATTAAACATAAAATCAAATAAAATCAGAAAAAAATTAATAATTTATCTATAATTTTAGGTGTTAAAAAAAGAAGTAATCAATGTTAATGGTAGTGGCTAAGAAGAGAGAAAGTTGAGGGTATAAACGAGTAAAAACCTTTTTTTTTACTGTCTTCAAAACATAAACAAAAATCTAAATCCAAAAAATAAAATTCAAGTTTGAGATCTATTTTGACGAGTTTTTTCCCACAAAAGGATATTTTAAAATCTTTATTCCCTAAATAGAGTAGTTTTAAACTTATTTCTTTAAATGAGGTACATTAGCTCCATGTCACATATTTTGACAAAATGGACTCCACATCAGCATCTCTTTTCTTCAATCTTGTTCCTTCTGATTCTGGTTCTTCTCTGCAAGGCTGCAATTGCTTTTTTTTTTTTTTTTTTTAAATCTTTGTTTTTAGAAACCATTCTCACAGTATCAAAATCTCATCAAATAATAATAATAGATAAATTAGTTATAGTTCCAAATATATGGCTAATTTAGATTTACAAAGATTTACACCCTAAAATGTTTTTCAAAATGGAGTACAAGAATATTACTGACAACTTAAATGGCCATCAATTAAATCATCTACTGACTCATCTTTCAAGTCTTTCCATGCCATTGAATCATCAAAAGCCAATGGCATTGATTGAAAAAAGGTCTCTGTCTCTAGAATAGCCTCGTTCAACTGTTTTAATAAGATCATCTTCCTCAGTTGGAATATTAAATTGGGGAAAGTTTCAAATTTGAATGCTTTTGTAGATAGGCAAGTAATTTTTAGAACAAAATGCAAGAATATTGTTTCTCTTTCAAATTGTGTCTTATTTTATGGGTACTAATTTGAATATCTTGAGAATGATTTTGGAAAAATCAAAATAGATTTTGAAACACGTACAAACATAGGTGCAGGGAAGAAAAATAAAGCAGAGGAATGAAAGAAAGGAGGTCAACTGTTGTGGAGGAAGATGCGGAAGTAAGAGGAGTTAAAGTACCTTTATTTTAGAATAAAGTTTAAAAATATTCTAATTAAGGAATTAAGGTTATAAAGTTCCTTACTTTGGGAAAAAACTCCTATTTTGACCCGTGACCAAACCCTTGCCTTCACATTTTTGGCTATCAAACCAAACCAGAAAAACATAAAATAAAAAGAATTTCCATTTTCTTTCTCTCTTCTTTCACTGAGCCTAAAATTTATTTTTCTTTTCCTTTTTCCGCTTTTTCTTGAATAATTTGATTGGGGGCTTAGAAAACCATGGCTTATGCATCTCATATCATCAATCACTCTAAAAAGGTACCTATCAAATTTTCTCAAATTTTTTTTCTTTTTATGCTTTGGTCAGTTTTAGATTCAAATTCCTTTCTAGATTGGAGTATTTCTTGTTGTTGATTTTAGTTCATTAATGGTAGCTATAAGTTTAATCCATGATGCGTCTTTACTTTTATGTGATCAAACATAGTTGAAATTTTAGCTATTTATTTATATAATTTTTGTGGCTCTAAGCTTATTCTTTGTTTCGAAATAACTTTTGAATTTCTATTATTACAGTTAAGAAATGTTCTCAACTTAATGCGGCATGATCATGCCGTTTTGGTTCGTTGGTTTTCTCATGGAGCACGATCCTCTGTTTGTAAACGAGAAGGTCATATACGATGCCGATGATATAAAGATTGTTTTCTTCTTTGTTTCTCACATTCTACTGACTTAAGCATAAGAGATGTTTTCAGAATTGTGCATCTTAGATTTATCAGATATTATAAGTATATGGTTTGCTCATATTTCTTGCTAGGCTCATTCATAGCACATGGCTGGCATGCTAATTTTTATTTTCGATTTGTGATTACACTTAGTGATAGGTAATAGTTTGTCAGTATTGTGAAAACATAACAGGGTGGATGAAATTATTGTGAAGCATAACAGAGTGGATGAAGTTTTGTTTTGTGTTATTTTAAGTAAAGCTGGTTACTTTTCAGATGTTACAAAGACCCTTCCTCTTGGTTACGCACCTGCAGAAAGGGAGAGGGTATTTAAGTTTGTTGCCTGTAACCCTGTAAGTGCGTTTATCTCTTTTTTCCATTAGTGGAGCAATAAATATTGCAGTCTTTTGGAGCAATTTTTACCTTTTTTTTTTTTCTGCTGCTGATGCTTCCCTGCTTGTACATTATGTTCTTAATGGAAGATAAGATTCAGTTGGCAAACGGTAACTGTTTCACATCTTGTTCTACAGATATCTGATTTATCTAAGAACAATCTTTCAAGGACAACAATGAGATTGGGAATTCCAATGGTTGGTGTGATATACAGCCGAGAACTTTCATGGTATTCTTTTCAGCATTTTTTGTGACCTTATTGGAAAATTTTACTATGTCATGGTAATGTTTTCAATAATCTAAACATTTTCCCTGTATCCATTATCAGTTCACAGGTACAGTCAAGGAGAGGATTTGCATCTGATGCAGGTATGGATTATTGCTTTAAATATCGTAGGTTGTATTTGTATCGTACTATTTTATATTCTCTCAAGGATTCATTATTTTTCAAATGGTAAAAAGTTTTGCACTGACTAATGACTACAATAAGAATGTTTGTTCAACCGATGAACTGCTCACCTCATGCTAAATGCTATACTATGACTTTATTAATGCGCTTTCCTTGGACACTTTGATGTTTCAAACCATGATTGGCCGTAAGAGTGTATTATTATTACTTCTTGCTGTGGCTTGTTTGATACCCTTCCTGATGGGAGAGCTCAAATAATAGGAATTTAATTTCTGAGTAATAAATTTGTGTAATCTGAAGCATGTTTATCTGGTTTCTAAATCATAAATAAGATGACCACACTGTATTTAAGAAGTGAGACATCATGATCATCTCTCTTTTACAAGGCATCGCTAAAGGACTCATTGTTTTTATTTTTGTTTTGCTAGTGCTGTCACTTGGGTAATGCTGGATTTATTTAGCATGTGTTGGGTTTTCAAGTGTTATTTTTGCCAGCATACAGGTTTGTTATATTTATGGCTGAGCAAATGGCAGTTGAAATGATGATTGAAAGGTCTCTAAGTTGAAGCCTGCCACATTATGCTAGGGTTCTACATTGATTGTTAACTGTTACATCTTATGTTTTGCATTACTTGCTCAATATTGCTAATATTCTGAAGTTCCTTTCAGGCCTCCCCCCTCACCAAGAAATTGGAATGCCGTCACTCTCACCCACAATGACAGAGGTGTGAACCGTTCTGGATCTTTCCAAAATATCATAAAAAATTCTTTAGTTTTCTTCTAAGTGTACCATTTCAAAATGCAGGGAAATATTGCTAGGTGGTTGAAAAAAGAGGGTGATAAAGTGAATCCTGGTGAAGTGCTGTGTGAAGTTGAAACTGTGAGGCCTTCTGCTGTTTTTTAGCTAGCTTGTAGCACCCGATACGGTTTCTTCTTCATTTCTTTGTTCATATCAGAAATCAGTATTTTATTTTATAACTTTGTTTATTATTTGAAGGATAAAGCAACTGTTGAGATGGAATGCATGGAAGAAGGTTATCTTGCCAAGATTATAAAGGGAGATGGGTCAAAAGAAATCAAAGTTGGTGAGGTATTGATTTTGAGAAACTAATGTACATATATTTATCTTTCTTTGGTTCTCACCTTTGAGAAACTAAGATGCATCTTGGCTTTGCACTGCTTGGGTTCACTGCCTGTTGCTTTTTGCTCCCTGAATAAAATACAATTCATTTGAATATTTGTGCAGTTAATGTTATTTATTTGATCTTGTGGTCTTACGTAGATAATTGCCATCACTGTTGAAGAGGAGGAGCATATTGCGAAGTTCGAGGACTACAGTCCTTCAGTATCAGATTCTGGTGCTCCTGCAGCAACAAAGCCAGCAGCAGCTCCTCCGCCAAAGCAGGAGCCTGTTGGACAACCAGTTAGTTCACCAGAGCCTAAAACTTCCAGATCAATTTCACCTCCTGCTGAAGATCGCATTTTTGCAAGTCCTCTTGCACGAAAAATGGCTGAAGATCACAAGGTTAGTCATATGAGTGCTGTCACTGGTATTCTCTTGTTCAGAGACAAGACACTGCCATAAGTATCTAATAAGCTTCTATCAAACTTTATTGTTTTAACATATCTGCATTTCTTTTGGATGCAATTTTAGGTACCCATCTCAAGTATCAAAGGAACAGGTCCTGATGGACACATTGTGAAGGCTGATATTGAAGATTACTTGGGTATCATATTTAAATTTCTACACTGACTGATTGTTGCTGTTGCGATTTTTTGACCCTGATAAGTGATGCTATATAGTAAAGAATCTCCCCCTTCTCTCTTTGTTGCCTTCTCAGTAGTCTTCGATAGTATTGTTTGGTGTATTATTGTCACTTCTTCTGCTTACCGGAGAGATTTCCCTGTCATGTAGCTTTACGTGGGAAGGAAGTTTCAAAACCAACTACTAAGACAAAGGATGCAAAACTTGCAGCCCCAGATTATGTAGATATTCCTCATTCTCAGATAAGAAAGGTATGTTAAAAATTGTCATTATCTATACAATTTTCATGAAAGTCCAAGGCTCTTAAGTGTGTATGGTACGTGGATTTTATTCTATGGATCCACTCATAGAAGATGGTCCTCTTCGTATAGAATTTAAGCATTTGATCTAGTTTTGTAATAATCTTGCATTAAATTATAAATAAAAAGTCTCAAATTGTGGCTATCCTTTGGATTGTTGACTCTTTGCATAAGAATGCAGAGAAGTTGGTATCCCTCCCTTCTCTCTGGCCCTTTTTGTTGTCTCCCCATTTTAATGCCCGTTACTTTGTTTCTCTCATACCCAATGTGCTTTGTGATTAATTTCTGCTAAAAAATTTGACAGGTCACAGCATCACGCTTATTATTCTCAAAGCAGACTATCCCCCATTACTATTTAACAGTGGATACGTGTGTTGACAAGCTTATGGAGTAAGTAATAGTGCTTTAATCTTTTAAAAGATAAACAATTATATGATATATTTTGATCATTTTTAACTGTTTCTTTGCATGCAGTTTGCGGAGCCAACTCAACTCGTTACAAGAAGCTTCAGGTGGGAAGCGTATATCTGTCAATGATCTTGTAATTAAGGTATACAACTTTCTATACTTTTAATTTCTGAACGTTCAGATGTACAAAGTGGACCCTGATTTGTGACTTTTGGTGTGGTCCAAGGTTCTCCAAGAGGTTTTTGTGTAATGGCAAGTGGTCATTATAATGTTGATCTAACATGGCAATTCTTGATTAAACTTCAAAGTACAAAGTTTGCCCCCCCCCCCCCCCAAAAAAAAAAAAAAAAGGAAAAAGCTTCGTAAAAACATATTATGACAAGTCACACCTCCTCTTTTTTACTTGTTTTTTCCTCCACGTGAACCTTCAATCATTTCATGAAATTATGTAATTCTTTCTTTATCAAATCATTAATTTTTTTGGAAATATTTACTCCAAAAGTGGTCTGAAATGGCTGCTTTTGTGCAAATGCTAATATACTACTTCTCAAATAAGAAATTAGTGCTTATTCCCCTTTTTCTTATCTGAACTGCCATTAGAATACTGCAAATTGTAAACATATCGGTTTAAGATACTTAGAAGGTAAAAGTCTTTTGTCAACTACAGGCTGCTGCATTGGCCCTCCGAAAGGTTCCACAGTGCAATAGTTCATGGACAGATGATTATATTCGCCAGTGAGCATAATTACTTTCAAAGTGATTAATTCATGAGTGCATAATGCGTATCATCATGATATGTCTTAATGCGTATCATCATGACATGTCTTATTTTGCTTCCAACCCAGGTATAACAATGTGAATATTAATGTAGCTGTGCAAACAGTCAATGGACTTTATGTCCCTGTGATCAGGGTGAGCAATTGTTTCAACTTATCCCCGTTTAATTTTTATCAATAATTTTCTAGTTTAACCGATCAGTTTATTTTACATATTGCAGGATGCAGATAAGAAAGGTTTGTCCTCAATTGCTGAGGAGGTTAAGCATTTAGCACAAAGGGCCAAAGAGAACAGCTTAAAACCTCAAGATTATGAGGTAAGAGTTATGCTTTTATGTTAATAAATGATAATTGATTTTGCGATGATCATCTGACATATGAGTATGTACATGCTGGGTTTTTCTCTTTGCAGGGAGGCACATTTACAGTTTCTAACTTGGGAGGGCCCTTTGGTATCAAGCAATTCTGTGCCATCATTAATCCTCCTCAGTCAGGAATTCTTGCTGTTGGGTCTGGTAAGATTTGTCCTTAGTTTTGCCTCAAGTCATATTTATTTCTGCTTCTTAATAATCACTGAACTTGACTGCGTGCAGCTGAGAAGAGGGTTATCCCTGGCTCGGGTCCTGAACAATTCAAGTTTGCTTCATTCATGTCTGTAACTCTAAGTTGTGATCATCGTGTTATTGATGGTACGCGGTTCTATTAGAATCCCAGTAATTTATGATCAAACCCGAGTCAAACTTTGTCCCGTGTCCTTTAGATATTCGATCCAAATAACTCCACTTGCTGTCTTTGTAGGTGCAATTGGTGCTGAATGGCTGAAAGCTTTCAAAGGCTACATTGAGAATCCAGAATCAATGTTGCTCTAAATCAACCAGTCGTTCTTGTTTCTTTTGGTTTTAGACACATTTCTTTGCTGTGATCAATTCACGGCTTGAATGCAATACTTCATGTATTCCCGAGCATTTTACTCCGGCGGTAGCAATTTCACTGCAAACCAAATTAATTTTTTTGCAAATAAGAAGAGAGATCGACAATTGAGGAGCTATACTGCAAACTGGGTTTTCGCCTTTTGCAGCGTGTGATAATCCCTTCCATACAGGTTCCTTGTAATGTGAATACTTGGAGTGATTTTTGGGGTATGCTATTGCTAACCCATAACATTTGTAGTGCTTTACTGTTAATTTCGTGTTTAAAGCAGTTGAGAGTTGTGCTTTGTGTTTTGCATGTGTAAAGGGAGACCAAACCAGAAAGGCAAGTCGAGGTCGATAATTAGGTCCTTCCCAACATTGTTTCTTCATCTGCTTCCACTGTGTTTTGTTGGTTGGATACGGTAACCGTCGCCCTTGTGACCTAAGAATTGGTTTCGCGTTTGTTGCTCAACCTGCAACTTTTGTGTCCTTATTAAACAAGTTTAGGAAACATGCAAGGATGAATATTGCAATCTAATTTTGACTTTAGCTGATTTAAAGCTAAAATCGATTCAACCTGACTTTTGATATGGGTGGATTTCGTATAGATTGAGAATAACTCTTATTTATTTGTACAATTGTTATAAATGTCGGTTTCAAACCTTGAAAAACATGTTATCAAAGAAGATTCAAGTATCACCAGACAAAAAATGAATGATAATTTCTTTTCCACCAAGAAAGTTCGGAAAAATAAAAATCTCCCTCCCCCCCCCCCCCCCTAATAAAAAAAAAAAGTCAAGTTAGATGCAACAACAGAACATAACACTGGTAATTTCACTGAAATTATGAAAATAAAATCGTTTCGCTTCATTCTATCCTGCAAAAAGAAATCTATCCTTTCAAATAGCTGCTGCCCTCTGCAAAACAAAAGCAATGACAGATTTTGCTGTTAAGCAACCAAAGAGCTTAACATGTTCTATGCCATTACCATTAACCCCTAGCTAATATCAACTTAATTATAGCTCAGAGAAACAGAAAAATACCACTCATCCTTGGCTCTCAAATTGTTTCCTTTGTTATCTCAGTTGTTTTCTCAGTTGCATAATAAACTTTGCTAAGCGCTAAGCTTAGCACCTGACCCTAGAAGTAGGGAAGCAGAGGGGCATATGCATGGGATGGGATCATCACTTTTAACTATTACCTACTGGTAAACAAGCTAGAAAACTACATGACAATGATCATTCAAGACTATCACTACATGCCTTGCGAACGAAGTTACAATATACAAAAAAAGCAATAAGCATCTTAAATTAAGTTCAACTGATTGTTGAATATCTAACATTAACTTAAAAATTCGTCAACTTGTTCACTTTCATTTCCCTCTTTCAATAAACAAGACAGCAACTTAATTACAAACGAAGTCACTTCAAATATGTCTAAACTCTAAACACAGTTTCCATGTATAAAAAGACATAAAACAGAAACAATACCATGGTATCTTTCCCCTAACATGACTCAAACATATTACCAACAATACATGAAATTCAGCCAGCGACAAGAAAATTCAAATTATTATTTTCATAGCATAAACATAGCATTAAAAAGGAGTAAAAACATATTTGATAGAATACCAATCCATTAATATTAGAAAAAAGAAAGTTACAAAAATCATTAATCCTTAAGTACCATTATTTATCAATTGTCACATCAACTTCACATATTATATTAATTAAATTTCTCACATAAACCTAATTGTAATTTTTTCTTTCCAATCAAAAATTTCGATTCAAGCAAATATCAACTCACTGAAAATTCTTTCCGTTTTTTTTTTTTTTTAAATAATAGGCACGTATCTCTTGAACACTTGCTTCCCAGCAACCACCGCTCCAGCCGCCAACCCACCAAGCGCACCCGCAACGGCAGCAGATCTCACCCCTCTAGCCGCCCGACAAACAGCTCCGGTCGCAAGACCCGCCGCCACGCTACTCCAGACATCATCCCGATCAGTCACCGCCACGACACCACTCTCCAACCCCGCATAAATCAAGCCCACCAAACCGATACTGTTCCCCCAGGATCGACCCGTATGACCCGAACTATTCAAGATCCGATTGATTTTCAGCTTCAAAGTATCGCCTTGCTCGAAATTCCTTAGAGCCGAGAAGAGCCCGACGGCTGCGCCTGATACAGAGCCACCTAAATAACCGGAGCCGGTGTAAAAGGTTACGTTTTCGCCCCAAGAGCGGCGTTGGTGGAGGGATTCTTCGGAGAAGAGGAACTCCGGGGAGGTTGGTAGCTTGTAAAGGTTAGTAATGGGAACATGGAGGTCTAGGTCTTGGTATGGGTTGTAAAGTCGGGAGTTTGGGTCGGTTTCTCGGTCGGAGCTGTGATGACGAGCCATGGTTTTGGCGAGTTGGGTGGTTCGAGACTTCGAGTTAGGGTTTGGTTTCTGGGAGAGAAAGGAGAGGAGCTTGATTTTATGTTTATTTCTGGGTGTTGGAATTTGGAACAATGATTCTGCACGCAGGTTGTCTTTGGCTTTTATTTGTTTGGCTATAAGTCGGTCGGACCGGGAATCCTGCTTAGCAACCTTTGCCTATTTAAAGAAGTTTCGTAGGAAGACAGACATGCACCGATAAAAGATCTAATATTAGAAATATTATTCGGTTACGTTTGGGTTGTAAATTTTTTTTTATTTTGATAAATTATTATTTCATTTTTAAATTTAATAATAAATTAAAAATTAAGTATTTTTAGTATTTTGCTATTTATTTTTGAAAAATATAATTTTTGAAAAAAAATTAAAAAAATTGATTTTTTAATTGTATCACTCAATTGTAATTAAATTATTTTTAAAAAATATATAAGTTAAATTTAAAATCAATAATACATACATGATAATTTAACCAACCAATACAATAATTATCCATTGATCAATTATCAAATTCAAACTTATTTATCTATGAGATTAAAGTTTACTAATTTCATCCCCCATCAAACTTAATTTAAAAAAAACTAATAATTTTAATATAATAAAAAATATTTTTATAATTATAATAGAAAAATATAATATAATAATTTTAATAAGAAAGGACGATTTTTCTTTAATTATGATAAAAAAATTATTACAATAATATTGATCAATTATAGCAATTGTGATAGGAAGGATGTTATAAGCTTGGCTTCGTATTGAAGGGTGGTTGACCTATTTCTTCACCGGGCTTCTTGTTCTGACTTTCCTACAGGCCTCCCATTGGATGGATGGAAGAAAGCTGGTTTTCCATATTGGGGTCATATATTGCCATCCACTTCTTATAATGATCTACGTTCGAATTTCCATTTCCATTTCCATATTAGGATTGTTTGTCTTTCCTTCCTGATTATACATAATAGAAAACATACAAGATTTTGAGAAATTTTGGAAGCTTTACTTGGGAACTATTTAGTTTGGTGAATCTTTCAACCAAACAAAGAAATCAAATGGCCATTCAATCAATCAATTCCCAAATTGTTTAAAAGCTCTGACCAGTTCTATGCTGGTAAACATGTTCTATATATACCAGCTTTGTTCACAACCAAGTCTGCTTTAAAACAAAAAGGGTTCATTGTCCATCCATATTGCCAAGATTTTAAAAGGGTTGCCACAAAAAATTAGGGGGAATGTAGAATGTGGTAGCCATTTTGCTCATTCAGTGTTGTTGGCTTCTTTTCCAACGCAATATATCGGCTTCATTTCAATGAATAGTAAGATTAATTTTAGTAAGACTGAAAATAATAATAAAATTATTATAATTACAATTAAAAAAATTATTATAATTATGATTAAAATAAATTTAATAAAAAATTTATACTGAATATATCTTATTGAAATAGTTATTTTGATTCAAGCTTAGGCGGGGGAGCTCTGGCGCCACAACTGAATCAAGGTCTGCCCTATCCCTTTTCCTTAATTAGCTCACAGCACTGTAAAGAGAGTTTTGCTAACAATAAAGGTTCTTCAACAGGCCAATTTGGTACTGTTGGATCTAGCATTTCCGCCAAGGTTCCTTTCTCAATTGCCTCCTGAACATGGACTGTCAGTCCCACTGGTGGCATTCAAAGAAGATTTTGCAAAACAAAACAAGCTTTTGCATTCAAACATATGATTTGGTTTATATTTTGGGCTTAAAAAAGCATGATTCCTCTTTTTAAATTAAAAATAATTTCAGAATTCAAATTATTCTGCATTTTCATACAATTTATTTATCCTGATTTTTTTTATCAAAAACAAAAATGGGACGCTATAAGTTTTATTTTTAAAAAACGTGGTAATCTTTTTTATACCCATGCAAAAGTAAGAAATAAGAATGAAGGTAGAGCAAAAATTTGCAGATGATTTGATCACATGGGATACGAAGAATTATTGTTATGGGTATGACTTTGCATAGGAGAGGACACGTGTCTCTCCTCAAAGTTTGCCTCATGAAAAATCCATGAATATTGTCTCCACGTAAGTACGGTCCCGAGCATTTTCTGTCTTAAAACTTGAAAGCATTCAATGATGTAAGATAATTACATGTATACGTGTCCCCTAAAAGAGTGCATGGTAAAAAAATGCCATTTCCCACATGCATGTACTCTCTCTTTCTTTTCCTTCTCTGTCTCCCCCTCTCTCTCTCTCTCTCTCTCCCCTAAGCCACCCCAAGCCCAGAAATACAAACAAAAGTTCTAGGAAAAAAAAGAGGCTTTTTTCTTTCACCATTTTTTACCTTTTTTTTAGGCTCCAAAGTCTCTTCATTTACTACTGGTAAGCATATTTTTAATCATTTCTTGAATTAAATTTTCTGTTTTTCCATTGTTTAAGGGGCTCAAGATCAACTTTTTAGCATATTTCCAGGTGGTTTTTAATATTCTTTTTTAGAGATTCATAATTCTAGTAGCTTTTTATGGTTGCTGTTGTTGTTATCTGGGGTTGGTGTGTTTGTTGGAATAAGGAGAAGGAAAGTGAAAGAGACCCTTGTTTAAGAAAAGGCTGAGATGGGTTGCCTTAGATCCAGGAAACCCAACTTGTATGTGGCAAAAAAATTACCTTTTCAGAGTTTCCCTGTGTGTATCAGGTTTGTCTGTGCTTTATACTAGGTTATTTCTCATGACACCTTGTACTTTCTCTTCCTTGGGTTTATTGTTGATAAAGCCTTGAATTCGGCGTTTCCATTTGTGCTTTTTATGGTGTGGATAGGATTTAATTGCCTTGATTAGTTCTTTCTCAAAAGGTGAAGAATTTGATAAGATGTGGACTCTTTGAAAAAGTCAGTTTATTTGTGACGATGGTTTGAATTTCATTAATTGTAAGGGTTGATCCGTTGTGTTTCTTCACCAGATCTGATTAGTTCTATCTTCATTTCGCTTGCGTTTAACTCGTGCCCCTCTTAAAGTATTAATCTTGATGGTGTACTACTATTTCTTTACTCTATATATTTGATATGAAATGACTGGGGGGTCATTGAGAGTCATTACAATGGAGAAAGTGTTGATAGAACCTGCTGGCTTGATCCCAAGTTTGTTGCTGGAAGGAGATAATTAAAATGAATAATGGTGAAATGTGTCAATTTTTAAGAGATTTGAGTGGTAACTATTTGTGGCATGGAGGGGGGAATTGATGGAAGAGATGTATCCAGCAGTTGCAATTAAGCTTAGTATAGGTAACTCTGTGTGAGAACTCTGGAAGTGCAACCCATGTGGAAATCACACGGATCAAGCTCGTAACTGATGCTACAAACACATCTGATGCTGCAAAGGTCATGTCTCAGGAATCTATTTCTAATAGCAATGAAAATTTTGAAGACGGTGAGAAAGGACATAACATGGTGACAATGTTAGCATCGAAAGAGGGTGGTAGGGAAGGCACTGATATGTTGAAGATGTTAGCCGAGGATGGAAGCAGATCAACTCCTTCTAGTGAATCCATGACTCAGGAAAGGGAGGAAGATGAAATTTTGTCAGTGGACACTAATGGAATTATCAATGAGGGATTGCTGGTTTTGAATGCAGGTTCTGATATAAGCTTGCAAAAAGCAGAAATTGAAGGTGGTAGAATTCTTGCCAAGGCTATTATTTTGGGAGAGTCAAGCATTGAGCAGGTGCCTGCAGCTGAAGTTGTTCTCGCCACAGTAAGTCCAGATGCAAAGACTTCTGATGGATTTGATTTAAAGGCCTCCGAAGTGGTCATTCAGCTGCCTAGTGAAAAGAATCTCAATAGAGGTAGCCGGAGTGTTTTTGAGTTCGATTGTATACCCCTTTGGGGTTCTATGTCTATTATTGGAAAAAGAACAGAAATGGAAGATGCTGTTGCTGCTGTGCCTCGGCTTATAAAGATTCCTATCAAAATGCTTATTGGTAATCATGTTAGTAATGGAATCAGTCAAAGTCTGACTGACCTTACTGGGCATTTTTTTGGTGTTTATGATGGCCATGGTGGCTCACAGGTACAACATTCTTCCTAAAAGCCTGCTTTACATTTTAACTCTACTTTAAGAAAATTTGAAGGCTCCTGAATTATACAGTAGTTGCAGTTTTTATGCTTTTTACGGCAATAATTGAAGATACTTCCTGATGTATTAGCTTATAGTTACTGGATAATCCTCTGCAACTGTGAGCAAATTTGGATGACTGCATGCCGCAACATATTTGTTCTTCTGATACAAGTGATTTTTTTATCTTTTTCTTGCTTGTTCAGCATATTTTGATCATTTAAAATTTTTTGTGAATTGAATCCAAAGTGATTAACATTTTAGCATGGCTTGTTGGAATCTCATGCAGGTGGCAAATTATTGTCGTGACCATATCCATGTGGCTTTGGCAGAAGAGATTGGGAGCATTAAAGACAATTTATGTGATGGCACTAGTATGGAGAGTAGACAGGTGGAATGGGGGAAGACATTTACCAGTTGCTTTTTAAAGGTTGATGATGAGATTGGAGGAAAAGTTAGCAGAGGCATGATTGGAGGCAATGAAGATGCTTCTGATGCTAGTTTTGAACCTGTTGCACCTGAAACCGTTGGGTCAACAGCTGTGGTGGCCTTGGTTTGTTCATCACATATTGTTGTTGCAAACTGTGGTGATTCAAGAGCAGTCTTGTGCCGTGGCAAAGAAGCCATGGCATTGTCAATTGATCACAAAGTAAGGCATTTTAATGTCTCCGGTTTTTGTACGATTTAAAAGGAAGCTGTCTGTGTGTGGAAACCAACATGTTTGCTTTGTTGCTTTGCAGCCAAACAGAGATGATGAGCATGCAAGGATTGAGGCATCCGGAGGCAAGGTTATTCAGTGGAATGGACATCGTGTATTTGGCGTTCTTGCAATGTCAAGGTCCATTGGTATGTTTATTTCTGCTTGAAATGAGCATTCTAAATCGTGAATCCTGATAAATATTGTTCAGACAACTTGAAACCTCAAATCGTCTTGTGGATGTCTAAACTCTGGTGATCTATAACTAGAATCCCAGCCACATGTTCCAGATATATATTTGCGCAATGAAGTAACCTTATTATTCTATTCTATTTGACCTTAAAATCCCCCCCC